CTCTCTCTCTCTCTCTCTCTCTCTCTCTACCTCTCTCTCTCCCACACTACTGTATCTGGGCAGGTCTCTCTCTCTCTCTCACACACTCCTGTATCTGAGCAGGTCTCTCTAACCCTCTCTCTCTCTCTCTCTCTCTCTCTCACACACTCCTGTATCTGGGGATGTCTCTCTAACCCTCTCTCTCACACACACACAGACACTCCTGTATCTGGGGAGGTCTTTCTAACGCTCTCTCTCTCTCACACACAAACACTCCTGTATCTGGGGAAATGTCTCTAACCCTCTCTCTCTCACACACACACACACACACTTCTGTATCTGAGGAGCTCTCTCTAAACCCACCAGCTCTCACACCAATGCATCATCAAGCTCTCAAACCCTGCCCACGATATAGTGGCTGGTAAAACACTTCACTGATTCTTCCCGGGCCCATCCCCGTAACTCTGTAACCCCACTGGCAAATCAGAAATCTTATCAACCTCTCCCCTAAACAGACCCAAAGACTGAGCTTCCACAGCACTCTGTGGTAGAGGTTCACAAAACCCCCCCGAGTAAAATCATTTCACCTCATCGCGGACCTAACTGTATTTCCCCTTTAGTTTCTAACAGTGCTCCTGATTCTAACCAGCCCGCACCAACCCTGGGGATACCTTCAGGGATTGAGGACAGTTCAGCAAGATATATCCAGATTTCCCAGTGAGAGCGAGAGAGAGCAGTGGGTGGGGAGGGTGTGCAGACCCTGGCTTCCCAGTCTCTCATCATGCCGTCCCAGGGATCAAGCTGTTTGTGTCTTCCGTAACCCAGTACTCACACAGCAGCAGCACAGGAAGATAATGCAGAAGGACTGGAGAATCCCAGCTGTCCCTACCACCCAGGTCAGCCGCAGGAACAGGATCACACCCAAGATGTTCTGTAGGCACGGCAGGTAAACGCCCATCAACATTCCCATCTGTGGGCTCTGCAAAACACAACCGGCAGACTCACACAGGCACATAACAGGTACAGGTACAGCCGTGCACAGCAGACACACATGGACAGGTACAGGCACACACATACACAAACACACAGAGAGGCACATACATACAGGTACAGGCACTTGTGTGCACATGTGTATAGGTGCAGGCACACGCATACACAAAAACAGAGAGGCACATATGTACAGTACAGGGACAGGCATGCATGCACATGTTCAGGCACGCAGGCATCAGTGCAGACTGATACTGGCACACACGTACAGAAAGCAAAGCCATCACAAATGCACGTACAGGCAACAAAACCACCACATACACACATGAAGACAGCATCCAAACCCCAACACACACGTGCACACTCATGCACACAGACTCTCTCTCTCACAAACATACACACCAGCACAGGTCCACTCTCGCACTCCCGCACAGGCACAGGCACAGGCACAGGCACACGCTCCCGCACAGGCAGGCACACACTCCCGCACAGGCAGGCACGCACCCCCGCACAGGCAGGCACGCGCCCCCGCACAGGCGCACACGCACGCACTCCCACACAGAGCAATACTGAGGTACAACCATGCCTATATGCACTAACTGGACAGTGTTGGGACAGAGTGTACAGTGTTCAGGGCAGGGTGTCAACAGGGAGGAACGTTACAGGTGGATGGTCAGCGCTCACCTTGCCGTTCCTCTTCTTGTTCGTGACGTTCTCAGCCTCCTCATGCTCCTTGGCTCCCTGGGGGAGGTTGGTGTAGTTGGCCATGCGACTCAGCAAGGAGGAGACCTTGGGCCGTGTGTCCAACTCTTCCTGGGAGACGGGGTAAGGGAGGGGACAGTCAACGCCAACATTCCCTGTGACGGCAACTTGATCTGACAGGAAGCACACAACCTCATGGCAGAAATACTGTCCCCAAAACTCCCTCAAACCAACACCACTCCAATAAAACATCCCAAATACTCAAGAGAAAGATCACAGGACCACAAAATACAGCCATTCGGCCCATCGAGTCTGCTCCACCATTCTATCAAGGCTGATGGGTTTCCCAACCCCATTCTCTTGCCATCTCCCCATAACCCTTGACCCCCACCTCCCCGTCCCCACAGACCGCTCGAGAACCTATCTATGTCCGTCTTAAAGACACTCAACGACCTGTTCCCCCCACCCCAGAGCCCTCTGCAGCAATGAGTCCCACGGACACCCCCCGCCGACCCTCTGGCTGTAGAAATTCGTCCTCCTCCTCCTCAGTTCCAAAACAAACCAGCGCCCCTCTGCTGGAATACTGCCCGATTACCTCCATATCGCAAACCAAAATACCGCAGCAGACTACCCTCAATGGACATGGCCCCAGGATGCCTTCCCGGCTCGAATCGCACCCAACACCACCCCAACCCCAGCCCCAGCAGCGTTTTACCTCGAACAGCGCGAGATTGCGATCGCAGAACTCATCATCCTCGTAATCCCCACTGAAGAACATGGGGTGGTTCTTACTGTGCCCATCGCCTGGTGAGGAACGAGACACTGACAATCAGCGGCTGTTCGAGCACTCAGTCCAACAAACCTACCACCACACCCACCAGCTCTTCTTCACCATCTCCAGGTGCCAAGCAAGATGCACAACGTTCCCTGTTCACTCCCGCTCTACACCGTCCCCACGGACCCCAAACGCCTTCCCCATTCACTCCCGCTCTACACCGTCCCCACGGACCCCAAACCCCTTCCCC